TTAATTTATCATTTATTATCACCACTTTTCAATTCATTAACAATATTTCATCAAGCCTTCTTTATTCAAGGCATCACTTCGATAGAGAGGGTTTCAGATTATAAATTTCACGGTCTCAGGATTTCAGGCCAATCACAAACCACACAACCAAGCTACACAATCACACAATCAAGTACATAGAGAACTTCACAATATCACTCAATACATATCAGTCACTATTAAGAGTCTAACTATCGAAATAGAATAAACCATAATCTACCTCCACCGAAGAATTGACGTCAGGCAAGCTACTTCTCCAATGCCTTTCCTTTCCTCAATGCCTCCGAACCTTTCCAATCTATCAAGTATATATGCATAATTTGTAAGTTAACAAGCCTATAAACACTCATATTATTCTATGTCCGACCTATACCCAAAAATTCCCCTAATTCTATAATCAATTTTCTAAAGTTCAAACCTGAGGGTAAGTCTTAATTCCTGCGATTAGCATAACTTTAATCTCGAACTTTCCAATCAAGAATCACGTGAATGCAAAATTAATTTGCAACTTTACTCTATCAATTTTTATGTATAGATATATGCTCGTAATCCTCAATTTCAGTGTCACCTATTATTTAATGATAATCTCTCTTCCACTAACTAATAACAATTTTTACAGATCATATCCTTTTCTATTGGCACTGGCAGTTCAATTATATACTACCTTATCTACCGATAATCTCTAATACAAAATGCACCCTAATAATGATATTTTAATGTATTAACCTCAAACATACTAACAATTTCACCTCAGTTTCCTTCGTAATCATTAGGTCATTATTACGTACAAACCTTGTCCCCAACTTCAACATAACTCTAACATTCTTTCCATCTGTAACGCAAACACAAGCCTAATTGCAACTCTAATCCATTATAATTTATGTAACGCAATAGAAGAATTGATACTAATTACCTGGATATCGGTCTTCTTGACAGATGCCGCAGGTATTGCTTTCTCGCCTCAAACCCTTATTCTTTCTACCGAATATTTACTCCATAATTATTATATAAGACTAACTATAAAAGTGGTAAAAGTGACCTCTACTAATTTTAATGTTATCTTCTTTAACCACCAACTAAATTAATTATTAAAATTACCCCTCTAAATTCATAATTGTAGTTACGAATAGTCCAAAATACCCATTTAAAATCTATCGGAAAGTATTTTATGAAAATAAAAAGCTCTAGTACTCAAAACGACCACATGGGTCGTTACAGATTCTCTTTGGGATGATGAAGATTTGAGCCCAATATGTTTGGATACCAAACATTATAGATTTTATCAATTGAAGCCTGCCAGAGTAAGCTAGTAATTTGTTGACCAACATCTTATTCTTTCAAGTATTATATCAACTAGGGGTAAACATTGGTCTACTGTTATTTTTTTTATATAGGTAGAGTCCCTTTACAATAGCTAAGTTATTGTAATAACTGATGTTTTGCTAAGTCTTGACCCCGACATAAAAATGAAACTATTGTCTATATTTTCCTATAATCCTGAAGCTGCAGAGAATTTTTGAAAGGCCCATTGCATCAACTCAATAGATGTACTATCAACTTTGAAAAACATCAATAAGTCATCAAAATGTGCAGTAAACCAAGCTTCTTACATTCGAGATGAAATTGGAATTGTGGGTTCATAGTAAGTATACTTTGTTCTTTGTGGAGGTACTATTTTATAATTACAAATGAGTAAGGTGACTTGAGTCACATTTGTCTAATTCATCTCATACCTAGAAATGATTTGGTTAATCCCTCATTGAGCACAAATGAATAAGAAATTGTAGTGATACACTCCATTATTCAGGTAATGAATTTCTGAGGGAATCCCAATTCTGCCATCATACTCTTTAGGAAACACCATTCAACAGAGTCATATTCTTTCATCAAATCAACTTTCAAGACACATCTAGGTGAGATTCTTTCATAAAGTACCACTTTATCAATTCATGACTAAATAAAATATTATCAATAATAGAGCTTCCTTCAATGAAAGCTGATTGGGATGGGCTAATATAATAATATTCGTTACTATCCTCTATGTCCAGACCTCTATAATGATGATTTTTTAGACAATATTACAATAGGCAATAGGTCTATAGTCTTTGACCACAACAGGGGAAGACACCTTTGGCACAAAAGTTACTGCAATACAACTAAATGACTTTAGGAATTTACCTGAGTGGAAAAATTCTTGTACACACAAGATCACATCTGCTTTAACAGTGTTTCATAGGCTAGTGTAGAATTCAATAAGGAAGTCATCCACTTCTGGTGCTTTATCAATAAACATATCCTTAATTCCTTCTCTGTGACCTTATAGATAAGAACAATTTTTTGTTGAGTAGATAGGCAATGACCTCTTTGATCACCACTGAGTTTGGGCATGGAACTTTATTTGTTGCAGAGCCCAACAATTTGGAAAAGAATTTGACAAATGCTCAGCTAGCCTTGGGTCTGATATCTTCACTCCTTGATCATCATAGACAAATTTGATAGCATTTCTATTAGCTCTAATCCTGCATTACCATAAAAAATATTTAGAATTTGAATCACCAAAGACAACCTAAGTAGCTCTAGTTTTTGTCATAGTGCTTGCTCTTCTACTAAGCGCCACTAGTGTAGGTCATGTATGAGAACATCATGTTCCTCCTCTATCAAAAACTGGTTTAGAGGACTAGTAGCCAACATGTCTTGTGTAACCTCTAGCTTTTGTCTAATTTGTTGCAGATGCCTAACATAGGAAGCCAGATGCGTATTGAGATCATTTAGGTTACTCTTCAATTTCATGAAGATTCACATTCAAGATTATTTTTGTTTTTATTCATCATATTGATGATTTGTGAATGAACTAATATGTAATAAAAAAAAGTATATGAAGGTAAGAAATATTTTAATTCTCAAGTCTTTCTTTTCATTTTTATGTAGTTAGACGTGCTTTTTTAATGTTTTATTTACGTATGTATTATCATCCTTCAATCCCCCCAAACAAGCAAAATTAAGAAAATTTTCGTAAAAATGAACAATGTGTTGCCACTATGTGATTGTTCTCTTTAAAAGTCATTTTGTGGTTGACACTAACTTTATAATCATATTAAACTATAATATTTGTTAGATTTCAAGTGATGCATGATTATTTATTGCAAGTACAATTGAAAATATAATTTACAAATATATTATATAGTTTAGATTTCTTTCTTTTTCTGATATAATTATTTTTTGATTGATATAATATTTTATTTATTCATAATTATGTTTAAAAAAATTATTCAATTGGTAGCATATGATGAGGAGTTTGACATGGGGAGCAAAATATGGTGACAAAGCGACTTGCAAAGGAAGATGTTTGAAGAAACACATTTTTGAAGTATAATTAAGAATTTCTTTTTACTTTGAATTGTATTAGTAACTTAGCTACTTTTGTTAGAAGTTTTCCAAACTTTTGCTTGTATTATTAACTTAACTACATGTATTGACAATGCTACTCATTTGGTCATCTACTATCCAACTCTTTTTGTTATGAAACACAATTAATATAATTATGTTATCTCAATCAAAAGAATTATGATGAGGAGTAAACCTAGAAAAAAAATGATGTGACACCTCTCTTTGGCCAATGATCCTATTATTTTTTTTTCTTTTTCATTGACAATTTTTCCTATTTTTTAAAAATTATTATTACTGTACAAAAACAAATGTGTCAATTACTACTCCTTCATTTATTCATATTCTTTAGTACCCCCCCC